ACACTGCAATATTTTTGTTGACACTCAGGCTTCACTCATTGACCGGGAAATTATAATGGGAAGACTGACCAGGGTCACGAAATCACAGTATAATTGACGTTCTTGGTTACACAAAAAATTTCACGTCTTACAGCTGTTGGTGCGAAGAAGGTTTGGTTTGTCATCTTTGTTGTATGCTCGCTGTTCATCCTTTTTGAAGGGGTACTTTGAAGGTATCCCAAGTATTTACTGCTATATGAAATTTGTCGTGCATTATTTGATCTGTCAATCAAATCATATTTTTAATGGTTTCCTTTCTGATTTTGTTGAGATCACTTCGTGTGTATGTGTTGTGGTTCAATTTTATCCATGGTTTACTTTTATTTCCCTTTGTTTAGACTCATTTAACGATAGATTACCATAACAGGGTGCAACAAAAACAGTGTCCACTTGCCCCAGGCAAGTGGTTTTGATCAGTGGGCAAGTAGTTTGTTAAAGTAAATCCTCAGAAAATAAATTTAGATAAAAAGGTGCTTTTACATAAAGTGTATAGCCATGTTTTTGCAAGCATAAAACAGATCACTTTTCGTGTTTAAAAGTAATTACAAATAACAAATGAAAACTGAGAACAGCACTGATGCAGGTGACTTACAATTTATCCACCATTTTATTTCATTGTGCACAAAAGGGGCCTGGGACTCTTGGGGGATTGACTTTTGCATTTATTAATATACCCTTTACGTAACTGTTAGCTCATACACAATTGCGGCTCAGTGAAGCATAACAGGCTATTTTGGACAATTTTGAAAAAAGATTCAAATCCTTAGTATGTGGAACCAATTAAAGCAGCTGTTCAAGTAAATGTAGTTCAATTAAATGAACAGTGTCATTCTTCACTTTAGTGCCTGTTCATCATAGCCTTCTTTGTAGCAAATGAAGAACTCACCTTCAGCTGAAATTTGCAGGAAGAATAGTGTACATTTTGTCTGAGTTCCAACATTAAACAGGTTTATGCTTATCTATTACCATGCATCATTAGATCTTGGATTTAATAACTTGACATGCGATGATAGACCTGAGCTTTGGACAAGTACAATTAGAACCTCACTTGCGAGATAACAATTAAACCAAGGATAAAATTGAACCACAACATATAATACAAAAACAATTATTCTTTTCCATCTCAGTGAATAGTAAATGCTTTAGGAATATTCATCTCGATTTCAAAGAATAATAATGTTAAGTATATGTATTGAGTAAAATATTAATTTGCTTTCCATCCTGGACATCCAAGTGAGACCAACATCCAGTCATGCCAACCCCAAAAGGGAAAAATCTTCAATCCTGAACCTAGAGCTAGGAAAAGTAGTGGGATGTGGATCGCCAGAACAAAGTCGTGGGATTGTCCCAAATTTCCTATGTTATGGATATTAGAAGTCATATATCATTTTAAAGCAGCAGCAGTAAACAACATTATCAATCTTTTTCATCGCTGCCGACAAGCACATATTTGTTGGCGCCATGTTTGAAAAGAGAGATTTAGGTTTATTTAACAATAACTTTTTGCATTTGGTGACAGTGGCAATTCGCAGTAGGGGTCACATTAGGCTGAAGACATGGTTGAAAAATGTAGACCTTGCACCAAGTTGCCAAATCACATAATTACTAATCAAATGTGATTACTTGTTATGCTCTAAAAAAAATTTTGGAATATTAATTTTCAAGAAAGCATGAGAAATCAATTGGCAACTCAAGAGAGCATTCAACAGGTTCTACATTTATGTAAAATTGAGAGATTCTGAGGCTTGGTAAGTCTGAAAATCTGTAGTTTTTACCCTTGAGCAAGACAGCAAACATCTCCCTATATTTCATATGGAACTCCACCCCTTCCCCCAAGGGCTAAGGGTTAAATCGATTAGAAGATTTAATATCATTTTCTCCAAATTTTTTATTTTTATTCTTTGGAGGATTAATGTATTTCATCCATTAATGTTAAAAATAGATAATTATATGGAAGAATGATATCATCCAACAGATTTAGGCTGCAACTTTCAAAGTGTGTAGTTCAAGAAACTATTCTTACCAGAGGGCAACAGAAATTCTTGAGGGGAGAGAGGTCCAAAGGAGACAATTTTGAAGACCTCTCTAATATATATGTTGCATTACCATGAAAAAAATATTTTTCTCAGTTTATCACAGACTGAAACAATTATCTTTTACATAGTAGTTAGTGCAACAGCATTTTTGATGGAAATGTTCTTTCCAGGGGTTACCCAAAGAAGCGGGAAAATCACAGAAATTCCAGAGGATGGTGGCAGAAGGTGTGACAGGCATCCCCTGGAATGGAAATTCCAGGGGATGGGGGGCTCTAAAACAAAAGTGCTCTGCATGGGGGTGATATGAATATTTTCTGGAACTGCACATTAATTGCAGAGCCAAAGATAATTCAAGAGAATCTCTGAAAGATTTCAAATGCAATTTAAGTGGAGATGAAACAACTGAACAGTACTGTATTGACTTAAAACAAAAGGCAAATGGACAAAGAAACAAAATAAACAATACACAGAAATGCACTAAAAGTTCTTGGCTGATTTTTAGAAGTTCATCTCTTAACTTTATCACTGCAACTTTGACTTCTACTTCCTCCATTGTCAAAGCTCCTCTGTTCCTTCAGAAACTAAAAGCTATTGATCAAAAAAGCCTGTTCATATCCAAAAGGCATGTAAATCTCTGTGGGGAACTTTTCTCTCGCCATTTATTGCACCAAATTTTGAAATTATTTAAACAGATATTGCAACATTGTTGGATTTATCAAAATACCAAAAAAGGGTGTTGGACAAAACAATGACCCTACATGGACTACCCCCATGGACTACCCATATGGACTTACCCTAAAATGGACTACGCCGCTGAAGTTTGCTGATAAGGGTTAGGAAACTGAGTGAATCAAGTTTTAGGTCAGTTTTCCCAGTATGATGACCCTAAATGGAACCTGATTCACTCAGTTTCCTAACCCTAATCACTAAACTTCAGCGGCGTAGTCTACTTTAGTGTAGTCCATATGGGTATTCCCTAGGGGTAATCCATGCACTGTACTGGGGATCAGCGTTTTGTCCACCACCCCAGAAAAGTGATCTGACTAAAATTCTGTTTTTTAAAAAAAATGAGCTTTCAACCACCTGATCTGCAGTCAATAGAACAAAATCAACTGAGTAAAAAATTAAGGTAGATTAAAACATTACAAAAACAAAAAACATTACAAAATTTTTGACCTCCAAACAAAACTGTTTTTGGCTAGCATCCATTCAATTTAACAGCTGAAAGTGTGTAAATACTAGAAGAAAAGACCAAAGTTGCTACAGTGCAAAGAAATTGTGGCTCAACATTTGTTTTCCTTAAAAATAAAAATTTAACAATGGATATATTGATATTTTAGCATAAAATAAAGGTTAATGTTGGCAAGCAACAACTATTGAGCCTGCATCGCTACTGCGGTTTATCCCAAACACGCGATCTCCTTATTTGGCAGCCTGCCTCTTTGTCTTATTCTGCGCCAGTCCGTTCAATCGCCACTTTCTTTGAAGGCTGCAAGTTGAGCAGCACCAAAGTTTTTTCAGCACCAAAGTTTTTCATGGATCTTTCAGGCGTTACGAACGAGGTCCTTCGCCTTTTACTGGCCCAAAACCAGCTTGCTATCTCGGGAACACGCGAACAGATGATCGAACGCCTGGGCACGATCAATGTTGATGCGCCAACATCACGTACACGAAGCTCCGATTCCGCCGACCCAGCAGCCAAAAGGCCTCGCACGAACACCGATTCTTCTCCTGTCGCCCCTAACCTACCCGGTGACGTTGAGCAGCCCAACGAGGAAGGCGATTTACCGAGCGCTCGGAATGATGAACAAGATCCGCCGCAGGCTGAGAGACTTCAAAGACGCGATACCGAACTAACCACGTGCGAAGCACAAGATGGCGTCCGCGACAGGGGCGTTCCGCCTAACCCCGTCTCAAATCCAGCGGCTCTAGCCACCCTCATCGCCACCATAGTCGATGAAAAGCTAAAAAATTTCGCATCAACGAACCCATCACCCGTACCACAACAGCCAGCACATTCAGTTCCCCAACCTCCAGCGCGACAACAACTATCTGACCCTGCTTTCGTCGCGAGCCTTCTTTCACAATCGGGTTCCTCGAACTACGGCCCATCTCAGTCCCGAATGCAGCCAGCTTCCTCATCCATCGCAGCCCACGTCCCCCAGAAGACTCGGCAACTAATCCTACGCGGTGAGTTTGTTGAATTCGATTCTTTGCTGCCAGAAAACTCCTGCCTAAACGAAAGCGAACTCCCCGGGGTGTCCATTTCGTTCGAGGGGAAACAAGTGAATATTCCCACCCCTGCCCGCAAGAAGAAAACCCACATTGACTCAATCGATAGGTGGCTTTCGGCCTTTGCTGTTTTTTGTACAATCTTTCTGACTTCCTTCCCCCACAGGGCTGTCGAGATGTTTGCTTACCAAGAGATCATCCGCTCGGCCTACCGTAAGTTCGCGGGATTTGCATGGCTCTCCTACGATATAGACTTTCGTAGGAAAGCAGCCGCCCACCATTCCCTTAATTGGGGGGAAAGGGATATACAATTGTACCTCCTGAAATTTACAGGGCAGGCAAAATCCTCTTGCACCATATGTGGTAGTGGGGATCATTTTTCTCATGGGTGTTCCCTCTCTGCCCTTAGGCCCAATCCTACCCAACGAGGAACGTGTAACAATTACAACAGAGGTGCCAAATGCAGCCAGGACCCCTGCTCCTTCAGCCACCGCTGCAGGGTCTGCAATGGAGAACACCCTGCCTACCGACACGATGACACCCCTTCAAAAACTAGAGGCCAGGGTGATAAGAAACTCTCAAACCGCTAAAGCCGCCATATCATACAAACCCCAAACCCCGGTGAATGTTCCCCTGCTACACAAACTTCTTAAGACTCACCCTAATCAAGCTTTTGTAACTAGACTTTGCGATGGGTTAAGCCATGGTTTCCACTTGGGTTACAAAGGTAACCGCTTCCCCAGAGCTGCCAAGAATCTCCCATCTGCCATCCAACAACCCCAAGTTATTGAGAAAAACCTGCTAGAGGAAGTCCAGCTTGGTCGCCTGGCTGGCCCCTTTGAATCCCCCCCTTTTCAAAATTTTCAAATTCATCCCCTCGGCCTAGTCCCCAAAAAGGGAAGCCAAAAGTGGCGCACTATTTTCCACCTATCCTACCCCAAGGGGTCCCCGGATAGCTTAAATGCTAACATACCCATTGAGGATTACACCCTTCAGTATATTCGGATTGACGATGCCATTGCCCTGGTCCTCAACCACGGCCCCGGGTGCTTTATGACAAAAACTGACATACAGTCCGCTTTTCGAATTATCCCCGTTCACCCCGGGGATTGGGAACTCTTGGGGATGTCCTGGAAGGGTCGTTATTACTTCGACAAAGCCCTCCCCTTCGGGCTAAGGAGTGCCCCTTTTCTCTTTAATCAACTCGCTGATGCCCTGGAATGGTTGGTCAGACAACACCTGAACATCCCCTCCATCATACACATTCTCGACGATTTTTTCATTGTTCAACCTGCCCCCTCGTCCCTTTGTGCCACAGCCCTCTGCCGGGTTCTTACCCTCTTTGAGGAATTAAACATTCCCCTTGCCCCACAGAAAACCTTTCGCCCCACCCAAGTTCTTGAATTCATGGGAATAACACTCGATTCCGTAAACATGCAGGCTCGTCTCCCCGAGGATAAGTTAAGTAATGCCCGGTCCCTGCTAGCGGACTGGTCTTCCAAACGGGTCTGTCGTCTACAGGACCTGCAGTCCCTCATTGGGACTCTGCAGTTCGCCTGCCGGGTTATTTCCCCTGGTCGCCCTTTCATGCAGCGCATCATTAACCTTACCCGGGGTTGTGCCCGCCCCAAGCGGATTATTTTTCTCACCCAGGAGTTCAGAAAGGACATCCTCATGTGGCAATTTTTCCTCGACCACTGGAATGGTGTTAGCCTTTTTCTCCCCCCTTACACAGAATCATCCCCACAAATCCATTTATATACAGACGCAGCGGGTGCAGTCGGATACGGGGCCTTCTTTGACAATCAGTGGTTCCAGGGAAAATGGCTCCCCTCCCACCAGCTCAACCCCTCCACAGGGATAAGTATTACCTGGCAAGAGCTTTACCCAATTTACCTTGCCTGCATGATTTGGGGGCCCCATTGGGCTAACAGGAGAATTTGTTTTCATTGTGACAACCAGGCAGTCGTCGCAGTTTTGTCTGCTAAAAGCTCAAAAATTCCCCGCATCATGAACCTTGTCCGTTTGATCACCTTTCAAACTTTGAAGTTTAATTTTACCTTTACCGCAAAGCACGTCCCAGGGGTCGACAACGGCATAGCTGATAGTTTATCTCGCTTTCAGATGCCCCGGTTCCACCAACTCGCACCAGATGCATCGCCCGTTCCCTGTCCAATCCCTCCTTTCCTGACGAAAGTCTAACTATGCAGGCTGCTCACTACATTTTCCAGTCCATCGCCAGCTCTACTCGTCGAACCTATTCCTCTGGGGAGCGACACTTTATTAGATTTTGCCTTTTTCATAAACTCATTTCACCCCAAACCCCTTTTCTCCCTACCAGTGAATCAACCTTAATTCATTTCGTCACCCACTTATCCAATACCGTTTCGTATGGCACTATTAAAGTTTATCTGGCAGCAGTTAAGAATCTCCATGTTGAGTTTGGCTGTCCCCTGGACTTCTCCTCCATGCCCTTCCTATACAAGACCCTTCGAGGGATCAAATCCTCCCTCGGGATTGCCAAACGGGCCCGGTTCCCTATTACTATTTCGATCCTCCGCCAAATTTATGCCAAACTAAAACCCTTCCAATCGTTGGACACAGATTCTTCAATGTTGTGGGCTGCTTTTACCCTTGCGTTCTTTGGCTTTCTACGTAGTAGCGAATTCACTTACAACGGCAAGTTCAATATTCAATCCCACCTGACAAGATCGGACGTCCACTTTTACCCCAACATTGTCCAACCTGTGTCTTTCGAGGTTGTCATCAAGAAGTCCAAAACAGACCCTTTCCGTGAGACAGCCAAGCTCACTATCGCCAAATCAAACTCTACTGTATGTGCAGTCACCGCGTTAAGAGACTATCTGCTTCAAACTAATCCCAGTGGAGCTACCCAGCCCCTCTTCCAATTCTCGGATGGACGACATCTTACTCGGTCCTCCCTCACCAACAACTTACGGGCTCTTCTCAAGGTTTGTGGATTGGATAGTACCTGCTATGCATCACACAGTTTCCGCATTGGAGCAGCCACTACTGCGGGGGCTGCTGGCCTTCCAGACTGGCTCATTAAAGTTCTTGGCCGTTGGAAATCTGATGCATATCAGTCGTACATCAGGACACCCAAAGAAACCATTCTCCAAGTCCCTCAAAATTTGGCCTCCTGTCTATCCAGTTAATGACTCGAAAACAATTAGATGTCACATCGCAATGACTATTGTCCACGCTTCCTTGGCTTTGGGAACACTGTTATGCTGCTCTATACTGTTTATCACGAACATTCTTATGTTGCGTAAAAAAAAACAACAACAACAACAACAACAAAAAAAAACCAAACAACATGGGAACACTACGGTGTCTCTTTGTATTGTTTATTGAGAACACTATGATGTCTCATTGTAACACAATTGAGAACACTGTGTCCTACTAGAACATTCATTAAGTCATGCTACCCAAGTTTAGTTTCGGTTGGGTTCTTAAGTTAGAACGTGATCATACCCGCTTGTCCACTCCTCAATCCCCTTTCTCCACCGATGGTCTCTGGTTCATTTCATTCCCCCGTGGAGCGGATAAGAGCTGTATCCAGCCCTCGCGACCAGGTGGAGAAAGGGTCTTAGAGACTGGGGCTTTACACAGGGCACTTCTCGTATTACTCGGCGTTTTGGGCGGGGAATTGCTGCCTGCGGCACCCCTTCAGCCCTGTGCTGAAGCCCCGTCAGGGAGGGGGGGCTATAGGATTTGCTGGACTTGGTTAACTTGGCCCAAGGACATTATGCCGGCCATGCGTTTTCACGCGTGAACTATGCCCTCCCTTGCAGTACAGGCATGAGGCACCCCCTCGGTATGGCGCCATGTACCGAGGCCCCTCATTCGGTCATCATCCGGTCGGTGGGTTTTATCCGAGCCTTGCGGGTATATTCCCTGCCCAACTTTGCCCACCAAAGAATATTGTGTTTTCTCTGCGTCTGCGCGCTGTAACATTAATTGATATTTTAGCATAAAATAAAGGTTAATGTTGGCAAGCAACAACTATTGAGCCTGCATCGCTACTGCGGTTTATCCCAAACACGCGATCTCCTTATTTGGCAGCCTGCCTCTTTGTCTTATTCTGCGCCAGTCCGTTCAATCGCCACTTTCTTTGAAGGCTGCAAGTTGAGCAGCACCAAAGTTTTTTCCCCTCCCACCCTCCCCTTTTCTTTGTTTCTTGCCTTCCTTAACCTTCTTACATTTGTTCACTGCATTTGCACTCTCTCTTGTCTGTAGATTCAGAGACGTTTAATAAAATCATTAAGGGCGGGGAATTGCTGCCTGCGGCACCCCTTCAGCCCTGTGCTGAAGCCCCGTCAGGGAGGGGGGGCTATAGGATTTGCTGGACTTGGTTAACTTGGCCCAAGGACATTATGCCGGCCATGCGTTTTCACGCGTGAACTATGCCCTCCCTTGCAGTACAGGCATGAGGCACCCCCTCGGTATGGCGCCATGTACCGAGGCCCCTCATTCGGTCATCATCCGGTCGGTGGGTTTTATCCGAGCCTTGCGGGTATATTCCCTGCCCAACTTTGCCCACCAAAGAATATTGTGTTTTCTCTGCGTCTGCGCGCTGTAACATTAATAATAATATATTATTATTATTTTAATTTGTACTGTTGCAGATCTCGACTGCTCATCAAATCATAGGTCACTTTGAAGGAGAGGTAGCAGATTTAGTCATATGTGATGGTGCCCCAGATGTCACTGGACTTCATGATATCGATGAATACATTCAGGCTCAGCTTTTACTTGCAGCGCTTAATATTACCACTCATGTACTCAAACGAGGAGGAACTTTTGTGGCAAAAATATTTCGTGGAAAAGATGTTGACCTTTTGTATGCTCAGCTCAAGGTTTTTTTCCTTTCGGTGACCATCTGCAAGCCAAGAAGCAGTCGGAACTCAAGCATCGAGTCTTTTGTTGTATGTCAGAATTACTCTCCCCCATCCGGATACGTGCCATCAATGTTAAACCCACTACTGAGCAATCCTAGCCAGTTCAAAAGGTTGGTTTGTCTTTCTATATTTAACATTCTTTTATCAATTCAGATGCCAACATCTGGGAAGATCTAAAATCTACAGCAGGGGTAATATTGCAGAATGCGGAAAGCAGAATGCAGAATGCTGAATGACTCTGAAGTTTAGTGATTATCTAAGGGTTAGGAATTGGAGTGAATCAAGTTTCAGGTCAGTATAATGACCCTAAAAGGAACCTGATTCATTCAATTTTCTTAACCCTTATCACTTAACCCAGAGTCATTCGGCATTCTGCATTCAGTGTTCTGTAAAATACCCCCGCCATAAAATTACCCCCTCCACACCCCAATAAAATATGCAAATCAACCCATTTCCCAAATAATTACATGAGGCACTGACCATCAAAACTTGCTTTTATGATTCACTAAAAAAATATTTTTTACTGAAGTAAGTGAAAAGTGCATGTAGAGAAACTTTACTTTGAATTAAAATAAAAAATAAAAAAATTGGGCTTAATTCCAAGAATGTATGTGTTGCAGGTCAAAATTCAATTCACGTTAAAATTTTTTAGTGCGTATAATAGTTTGATTCTAGATTTCCTTTGTCTCTCAGCCCCAATTATTTTGAAAGCGAAGCACTCGAAAACGAAGACCGAAGCACGAAGCACCCAAATCTCGAAATAAAGCACCCAAATCTCGAAAATGGAGCACCCAAGACTCGAAAACAAAGCACCCAAATCTCTAGCCTGCGAACACACCCGTTTTGCCTCACTCTTTGCCGCTGGGGACATTTCGCGCACAGGAACGTCTGCGACTCAGCAACAGAAATTCCATACTGATGACATAAAATCTGTCCAGAATCCGGTCAGAAGCGCTGATTGGTCGGCGGAGTAGTTACATTGTTTTAGTTATTGTTTACGAATGACAGACAAAAGACAAAAGGCCACAAAGGTCAAATCTAAACACAAAGAATCTGTAACAAAACAGTCAATATTTGTGGAATATAGTCTTCTCTAGAAGAAGCATTTGAGTTTTGCTGGAGCTCGTTGGCAGATGAACACAACACTTTTCCAAAATCGACCATAAGACACGTAAAACTAGACAAATTTATATTTGGAACCCCATGACTACCGAATTTATTATGTAAACATTGATTTGCATCATCAGTACGGAATTTCTGTCGCTGAGTCGCAGACGTTCCTCCGTGCAAAACGTCCCCAGCGGCGAAGAGTGAGGAGACACGGATGTTTTCACAGGCTACCAAATCTCGAAAACAAAGCACCCAAATCTCGAAAACGAAGCACCCAAATCTCGAAAACGGAGCACCCAAATCTCGAAAACGGAGCACCCAAATCTCGAAAACGAAGCACACAAAACTCGAAAGCGAAGCACCCTAAACTCAAAAGCGAAGCACCCTAAACTCGAAACCTGTCTGTCACGAGACAGTCCCTTGTCAAGTCACCAGCAGCAGGAATCAAGCACG